GAAAAAAGCCGACCCGACCCTTCGACGTGCGAGGGCCAGCAGAGGCTCGGAGGAGATGCGAATCCGGCCAGGCCCGATGGAGACCGCCGGCGAATGCGGAGGGTCGAACGGTCGGCGTCCCAGTCGACGCCAATGTCCTGCTTCTTGGCGCCGGGGTAGGGCGACGTGGAGGGTGTAGGCCTGCGCGGTGGAGAAGAGGTCGAGGGGCGGGGCGAAGGGGGCTTCGTCCTCTTCTCCGCCTGCCTGCTGGCGCGCTGTCGTGTCGGCGTTGGCGGTCAGGTCGGGCAGGATGGAGGAGAGGAACTGGGCGAAGGGGTGGTTGGCGTAGGGGGGAGGGGGGCCGCGGGGGTGCTGGTGGTGCGGCATGGGGCCGTGGCCGCCGGCAGGAGGAGGAGGGGGCGGGCTGTGGTGGCGGCTGCGGCGGCCGTGGTGGGGCGGGGCAGGCGGACCGCGCGGGTGGTGGTCGGGTTCTGGGACGGAGGTGTCGGGGTCGGCCACGGGGTCGTCTGCGGGCGGGCCATCGTGGGGCGGAGGTGGAGGCGGTGGCCCACCACGGTGGTGATCGTGGCGTCCGCGGCGTCCGCGCCAGCCGCCTCGACCGCCGTGCCCGCCATGGCCGAAGCCGCGACGAGGACCGCCGGGTCCGGGTCCGAAGGGGAAGGCGTTCAGCATGCTCTGAATATTCTGGGCCCACGGGTGAGGTCCCTGATCATTGGAGTTGGACTGATCGGCGTGGTCGATGCCAAACCCGGGCATGGCGTTGAAGAACTGGTGGTTGTCCCAATTCCCGGGATAAGAGTAGAACGGGTGGCCGTTGTTGTTCCAGGACATGATTGCTGCAGTGATTCAAAAAAGACGATTGAGACTCTTGGGGCTGTGAAGGACGATATGATGAAGTTGAGAAGCAGAGAAGCTGCAGAGACCAGGAACCACTGAATCAAACATATTGACGGATGGATATATATGCCCCAAATGGCCAGTGGCGGCATCACACAAGAGAGGCAGCCATCCAGCACACCAATTAGGCAGAAAGAATCAGGCAGGCAAGATGCGTGGCCTAGCACACAAGAGAGGAGTGAACGCGTAGGTCAGGCGAGGCCAAAACACACTTGCGTATCTCGATCGCGCCAGTCATTGCCACAGGCACTCACACTGTCGGAAGTGGCCAGAATGCTGTCGAACAGGCTGGCAGGAGGCGGCAAGGCAAGATATCGCCACGCGGCCTAGAGATGAGCCGGCCCTCCCATTGGCGATTGCCAAGGCGGGGGAAATGCGAGCCTTCAAGTCCCCCGTCCCGCCTATGACTTGCTTTTGGCGTGCATCGGGGTGTCAAGACGGTCGTGTGGGTGGATTCCCATGCCCGAAGCCGAAAGCGCCGGGCAACAATACATTTGTAACCCTTTGGGCAGAAGTGAAGAAGACATTGGACTTGGTCGAAAGATGCCGAGTCCCTTTTTCGACCTTCCGCCACTGATAGCCCAATCACGTTAGCGCCGTCTGTCAGAGAGCGCTGATCAGCCTCATGGTCATCCATTGGCTCCTCAATCCAAAAACAGACAGCGCCTCAAAACGGCACAACAGTCTGGAGAACATGAGAGTACGTCAATGTCAGTATCTCTTGGTCATTTCTTATGGAGCCGGTGACAGGTTAGTATATCATACGCAGAGGCCGAAGTGCCTCACGGTGGTATTAACAGCCGCATCGAGCCGTTTGATTTAACCCCTGTCTCTGTCCACGAAATGCGGCAAACAAAATCTGACAATGTATGAGGCTTCTGCCGTTGAGCGGCTGGACAACTGAAACTGATCTCAGCCTGCCAAGATGGCATCAGGAACCTCGGGTTGAATCATATTGCTGCCTATGTACCTCACATGCAATTCTTGTTGCAGGATCTGTTCCTCTAAACTGCAGAGACACGCACAACAACTCCACTCCTGTCTTGCGACCTCAGCGTCCCGCATGATGCACATTTAGTTGAGTCAACTTGTGAGTATGAATGCTCGGAAAATTTGCCGAAAGCATTGATGTCAAACTCTCTCATCTTTTAAATACCTGATATAGAATTACCAGTCACAGTCGATGCCGCTCAGTGTTAAAGTCGTAACGTATGTTAATTCCCTAGAGCTTTGACATGGCAGGTAAAAGGAGATGTCTATGCTTATTGTCCACGAAGTCCGTCAAATTCCAGGAATCACACACATCCTGCATTCGCCAAAGGTCGTTCTACGCTACAACACCAAGTTTTCTGTTTAATGTCGATACAATGAACTCAGCGGTTTCATTGCGAGGCTCTCCTGGCAACTGAGACCACCATAGTTCAGGCGTTACAGAGCATTGCTTGGGTGACAAATGCCGCAACTGCCGGTGCAAGGCGGCCGTGTTGCTGCGATGAGCTGATCCCGGACATTCTTTGTGTACGCGATGACCCTTGCATGGGATTCTTCTGAACCATCATTTCTGTAGTCCTTGACGTAGGTCTTGTTGAGCTCCTTAATAGCAGCCCGTCCATCTTTCGAGATTTTCATTGCCTTGTAGCTCTCCTTGGTATCGAGCTCCCCCCAGCTGCCGATTTTGGCTGGCGGTCTGACCGCTTTGGTTGGCTTGGTTATCACCCACTTGTCGCTAGCTTGAGGGTTGATTTTCTTGACTGCCTTTATGTAGTCTTGAACCATTCTGACGTGGCTGTTAGTATTTATGAGAGTCCTCGACGACTATTGTTACATTCGTGCAATAAGTCTGTGGTGATCTGAGGTCAAGGCCACTTACCGATCAGCTTCCTCCTTGCGGCGTCCATGGTTGGCCCACTTCAAGCCCTCAATCATATCTGTGATGTAAGGCGCTGCAATGGTAGATTGGCGGGTCATCTGGTGTTGAGCAATGAACCCTGTCGATGCCAGCGAGTTTTCGAAGCTGTACCGGTCGCCTTGTATCAACTTTGGTGTTTCGCTATCGGGGTCTGGGTACCAGAACTCCGCAGGCTTGGCCTTGCCCATGACATCTTTCAAGTTCAGCTTTGAGTAGATGAACTTATCATCATTTTTCGATCTTCCCCATTCGCCAACGTCAAATAGCTGGTCCAAGGTTGGGTTCCAAGGATCAGTGACTTTCACACGAGCTGCTGTGAGGGAATCTCCGGTGAGGCTGCGCGTGGAAAACTGTCTCATGAACCCAAGGAGATTACATCCCTGTCTTCCTTGAGTAATCGATTGCTGGTACTCAGCATCGTTTTTGAAGTCTTCGGGCCACGAGTCGCACTTGTGACCTAGGGACCATGGCTTGGGGTCAGCTGACCCCGCGGGTCTGGTAGCCCAACTCACTTCGACGTCCACTACATGGCTTTGTTAGTGCATCTTGCGTCTTTCGAAATTGTTGCTTCCATTAGAAGGGTTGAGTGTACACATTGAGTCGGTAGGCCAGGAGCATTTGTGTGTATCAAGTGCGGGGATGGGAAACGGAGAACTTAGGCAAGATTATATTAGTCAACTTACTGCGGTATGCCTTGTACATGAAGTATAGTTCGCCGCCTTTTGACTCGCCCACAGCTCCAGCAAGTCCGGCAAAGAGGCCTAAGCCGAGAATGAGAGTATCGTAGGCCAGCATAGTGACTGCGTATTCTCTCAGCTGCGTATTCGGAGCTTGTCACCTCATTCAACACCAGTACCGATGATCGGCGTAAAGGTGAGGGTTCAGTAGGTCCACCAATCGAGTAAGGATCAGATCTACTGAGGCACAAAGAAAGCGAGCAGCAACCCAGCTGCCCATCGCTTCACTCCGAGTGGGCCATGTCGACTCTTTAAAAGAAATCGAGCGAAATTATGGTCCAATAACGACCTCACGGCGTTCTCGTTCTCAGAGATGGGATGGAAATTATGCCGGGCTCGGGTGCTGATTCTACTTGCGGTGTTGTGCCTTCCGGCGGTCAGGAACGCTCTGCTCTAGAACCGTCTCCAATGGCTTCGCCTCGGATGATAGTTACCTGAAGCGGAAAGTTCGGTCCCAATGCTCATGTTAGTATCCTTGGTTTCTATTTTCCCGCCCAACAAAACTTCCTTGCCCGGTTTCTTCGATTGGAACCATGGGAGCCTCGGTACTACTGTTGATGCAAGCGCAAAGATATCTCATTTCCAAAAGTTCCTGAGTTACAAAAGTTCCTGAGTTGCGGCGGAGAAGGACCCTTAAGGGTCCAGGACCCCTTTTTAACCGGCCCAATCGCGCTGGTGGGTTCAAGCAACATTCTTCGTGTGGCTGCATATTTTAATTAAGTATGAGGCTTGGCTAGCTGCAGGGTCCAAATCGTCAAAAGTCCAGAATGATCCAGCCTCAAGGCTCGACATCTATTCTGCATTTGCCGCGGGGACTGACAACACGGAGAACGCTTTAGACGTCAGGAAAGCCTGACGACCTCATGATGGGTGGGAGTAATCGCTTCGGCTTTCAAATCCTAATTTGGCTTTCTCGGCGAGTCCTGGTTCAGTTCCGTGTCTGATTGAGTCGAGAAGGAGATTTTTTGCATGTTACTGCAAGCGACCTCAAGATCCCTAAAGTCGATCGTATTCGTCAACGCATGCATGGTGGGAGTCAAGGATGACATTGCCGATCGCAAGTGAATGATCCCACTAATGGACATCAAACTCTTATAAAGTGAAGCAGGACGTGCAAGCCCCCATGCCTGGGACACAGCTCATTCTTCCAACACATTCTTTGCTTTCAACATTGATCTCTCACATTCATGATGCGGATCATCACATTCATATTGTACAGCATTACGCTGCTGGCATGTCATGGCGATGCTAAGGCTGTGTTCGCCCACTTCATGGTCAGTGATGAATATTTCCCATCTATCCATGAGTGAGCTACAGCTAAACACTCCGCCATAGGTTGGAAACACAGCTTCGTATAACCAGGCTCTATGGGAGACAGAAATGGAACTCGCCAAGGCGTCACGCATCGATGCCTTCGCACTTAACATTGCTCGCGGCGAGAAAATGAACGCCGATCAAATCAAGAACGCATTTGCTGCAGCGAGGGTCAAGAACTTCAAGCTCCTCTTCTCTTTCGACTATGCAGGCCGTGGACCGTGGCCGGCAGGGGAAGTCCTCGATCTTCTCCGTCAATACGCTGGCGACAGTGCACACTTTATGCATAATGGCCTTCCTCTGGTATCTACCTTTGAGGGTCCCGATCAAGCCAGCGACTGGATTAGCATCAAGGCGCAGGTTCCTTGTTTTTTCGTACCAGACTGGTCGTCCAAAGGCGCCGAACCCGCCAGCAAGCTAGCCAACGGCGTTGCGGATGGTCTCTTCAACTGGGCGGCGTGGCCGAACCACCCCAATTGGTCCAAGGACACATACATCGACGCATCGTATCGAAGGGCATTGGGCAACAAGCCGTACATGATGCCTGTTTCGCCTTGGTTCTACACCAATTTACCCAAGTACGACAAGAACTGGCTATGGCGTGGTGAGACGCTTTGGTTCGACCGCTGGGCACAGGCGCTACATGTCCAACCCGAATGGATTCAGATCATCTCTTGGAACGACTACGGCGAGTCCCATTACATTGGACCTATTCGCGGAGATGCGTCGCTGGTGGCCCTTGATGACGGGAAAGCCCCGTTCAACTACGTCAAGGGCATTGAGCACGGCGCTTGGCGGGCATTCCTGCCATACGCGATCAGCCTCTACAAAACCGGTACAGGGACTATCACACAGGAGGGTGTGATGATGTGGTATCGACAGCAGTCCGTCGCCTCTGGTTGTAATGATGGGGGCACGACGGCGTACACGGCAACACACATGCAGCCTGAGGGTAAATGGACAGAGGGTCTCAAAGACGGTGTATTCTTTGCAGCCCAGCTAGGTTCGAATGCCACGGCCGAGGTGACGATTGGCGGCCAGACCTTCAAACCATCCTGGCGATTCGAACCCCATGGCGGTGTAGGTATCTACACTGGCTTCGTACACACCTCCGCTTTGGGTGCTGTTCGTGTCGACATTCGAAGAAATGGCGGCCTCGTCGCCAGCGCAACAGGTGCCAAGCCCATAGGCGAGTGTCAAGAAGGATACTACAACTTCAACCCTGTGATTTATCTTGGCTGGGGCGCCTCGATTGCGGCTCGCAGTCCCCCTATCAACATCAAAGACGCAACTTGCATTGAAGGCACTGGCATTGGAGAGTTTGCGGATCTCTGCAAGTATACTTGCAAGTACAACTATTGTCCTGTCGAAGCCTGCATGTGTCTCAAGTATGGTCCACTGCAGGGGGGCAATATCGTTCGCGGTCCACCGGGCTATCCTGCTGCAAATCGAGACACTAACTACGATGGCCTATGTGCTGTGGCCTGTAGTTACGAGTACTGTCCTCCGAAGTACTGCGGCAGGGTCAAGTTGACTCCCATTGTTTCAAGCGTCTCGCCTTTCACACCCAGCTCGTGCACAAGCGGAAGGGCGAATCCGGCCGCTGTCAGCAGCGAGCATGCTCTTCGGGCTCTCGAGCAGATCTGCTCCTTTGGCTGCAAGCATGGTTATTGCCCCATTGACGCCTGCATCTGCGACAAAACTGGAGCACTCGTTCTTCCGAAGCCTGACACTTTCACTGGTGACAAACCTGATTTTGGCTGGAGTCTCATTGGAATCCGTCTCTTGTGCCGCTACACTTGCGGCTGGGGCGTTTGTCCACAGTTGTTGTGCAAATCGGAGGACAGTTTCTGCGCCGGCGGCTGTGCACTGAGCTACAGGCCTTGTTACTACCAAACAGACTACGCAAGCCTGGAAGCACTCGCCGGCCAAGCCAGCAACATGGAGCCGGATTGCGCTTCTTACCACGGACTTAATGTCCTTGCAAACATGCTGGAAGGCTGGGAGACCGAGTACGAAGGTGTCAAGTCAGGCTATGACGATGCCTGGCCCACGTACGAGCAATACATTCGCGACGCTGTTGAGCCTGCCATCTCCAAGATCATGACTGAGAAGGACGGCGTGGCTACCAAATTCTTCAAGTGCTGGCGATTCGACGACGGCGTCAACGAAAACCAGAAGCATCGAGCTCGTGAGATATCGTGCACCGGCGACGACCGCTTCTGGGGCCCGCAGCTGTTCCGCTCTTTCTGGTTCGACCTGATCGATGCCGCCGGTTTCAACGCTACCCTGGAAGAAGCAGGTGTCGACCCTGAGTGGGTTACATTTGACACAGTTTCGACAACCCCGCCGTGTCTCAGCCCCGGTGACCAGTTTTGCAATCGCGGCTTCAGGGCCGAGTACGGCTATCCTGTTCCCAGGGAAAACATGGTCGTTCCAAACCCCAAGGACCTTGTCGGAAAGGCTTTCGAAGGCGTCAACTCACTGCACGAGGCTCTGTCTTCCAGCTCGCTAGACATTGGTGCAGACATCTGGCACGGTTCACCCACAGAGCTTTTCGATGTCCTGGCCGTCCCCGTCTTTATGGTTGGCGATGCCATCGGGAGCATGAAAGAGATCAAGGATATTGCGAAGAAGGTCAACGACGCCAAGAAGAAGGATCTCATCATGCTCATCATTGAGTCCATCCTCATGGTCCTGCCCTTGGTAGGCGTCATTGTAGGCCAGGCAGGCCGCGCCGGCCTCATGGCAGCTCGTCTCGTCCATGCCATCGAAGCAGGCGGCAGTACTGCTCTGACACTCAAGGATGTCATTGAGAACCCCGACTCTGCGCCAGTCGCCATCGCTATGATGGTCCTCGATGTGGCTGGCAGTGGGCGGTCTCCAGACAATGTCAATCAAATGTCCCAGATGAAGAGTCTGATGGACGCACCTACGGTGAACAACATGGGCAAGCAGTTCAAGTTGTACAACCCTCACGTTAACAATATTGTTTCTGGGGCTTGTAAGAAGAACTAAAGATTAGGTACATGCTATAGGGGCGATTAAGTCTGTAGTGCCTAGTTGTTGAAAGAATCAATATTTCTCAAGAATCAATTCTCAATAGAGCTTCTCACGAGTAGCCTGCATATGGTTGTGAAGAGAAAGCGAATCATCACCAATACTGAAGCGCGTGATTCACTATGACATGGGTACAGGATGTTCCGGTAGCCGCGCATGCTCTATTGTCCAGGGAGTTATACATGAAAAAATAGACAGGAAAATCTTGTCAGCATGTCAATGTACTGACGAGAACTCCTCTGTGGAGGTGCATCTCCATTCAAATAACGAGTACGGCAATATAACACTCATTAAACTAAAGGTATAATTATAGTCTAGCAGCAAAGATTAAGCAATCACAATAGTGCATGCTTTTGAGGAGCTAGTGTACTTGAGTGCTATAAGCACGAATGAGTCTAGAATTATCGAACAAGCCCAATGATCGCTAGCATACTATCATTTTGTGAGTTCACTCATGGTTTACTCTCCATATATTGTGAAGTTTTAGGACTGAAGACATGATACATAAAAGCTTGTAACACAGTGTAGCTGATGATAAAACGATGGGCTACTAGATCTATATTTTTCAGATATCAAGTACTTGTGCTTTTCTCATACCATTACAACCTACTACGCCTCCAACGTGGAGTATGTCTCGCCGCCGAGCTCCAGGGGGGGGGCAAAGAATCGTTCCGTTTTGAAGATGCAGTCCAGACAGAACAGCCGAATGCGCCCTGCGCAGCAAACCGCGGGCGTGGCAAAGACAATGAAACGTGTCGCCAGCGTGGTCAGTGGCCGGATGGTAACCGAATTAAGGTTATCAGCCGTGGCGATACGGATGGATACGACCCTTCTTCTGGGACGCCCTGCGTATCCCGACCATCCTTACCTACGTACCGTGTAGGTCGG